GCTCTGATGATGTCCAACAGTTGTTGGACGAAAGCTCAGCACGTTTACACCCGAAACGAAGGAGGAAGTCACGTGGACTGCGTCAAAATGAATATCGTATAAAATTCAAACGGCTGCAGTAAAACGAGATTCATCCGTCCTCATCTGGTGAGATTGACCAACCAATATCTTCTTCATACACCTTCATTCGAAATGAAACTTTCTCTACGGTAGATCCTTGATCCATGCCTCTCCTTATGCTGGTCTTGTTATATTCTTTTTTTCCCCGATTTTGCCTAGGCAGTTATCAAAGTTATCGCTAACTCTACCTTCCTTCAATCTCCTGTTCATTAGATTTTTCTCCCTAAGGATGTCAATTGCCTCCCTTATCTTCCACTTCCTTGTGTTCTCACCATATGGGGCCCTTTTTTCTGTTGCCTTCCAATTTATATCTTGTCCAGTCTGTTCCTCTAGTTCTGACCTTTTGGTATCAATTTTTCTGCAGAGCCTCTGATGTTCCTTGCGACCATACCAGAGGCCACAACATCTTGGTCTTTACATCTTAATATAATCTCCTACAGAATTTTAAAATTCAACCTAATAATCATTATTCAGCACAATGCTATATGCTTAAAACCTCTGAAGGATGAATATCCCTAGCATTCCTAGCATTCTTTCCCAAGCAAATAGTTTCATGCATTAAATCTTCACTTAGGAATGCATAGAAATATTTCAGCTGTATAACAGTGTGTCCCAATTATTTACTCACTTAATTTAACTATTCGATCTCTTTCTCCTATACTTTCTCATCTTTTAAACACAAACAGGCTACGGTGTTCAAGACGGAAGAGATTTTAGCTAGCCTCCAGAAGTCTGCTGAGGTAGAAGAGGCCAATTGGTGCCAATTGGTTTCTGCAAAAGAGGAGGAGTGTCGACGTCTCCGAGAGGCAGCTAATTCGACCGAAGTGAGTCACTCATTCTTTCGCTTCTATAATCAGCACTCATCTTAGGTGGGTATTTATCCGGAAACTGATCCTTTTATTTATATTGAAGTTGGCAATATTGAAGATGTGAAGACCAAGATGTGGCCTCT